CTTCACAAAGAAAAATAGGGATTATTTAATTAGTCGTTGCTTTCCTTCCATTTGGTTTAAGTTAAGCAAAAACAGGAAATATGATTGATTTCTAAAAATCAGATGTTCCGCTACCAATGGTACTTTATTTAACCGTGTGATTTAGATGTCATCTACTGAGGATTTATCCAATAACAGAAAAACATGTAGAGCCGGGCAAAGATTATTGTCTGACTATTACTGAAAAAGGATTACATATGTGCATAGATGGCAGTTACATTATCAGAGATAACTGTTTCAAGGTTCTGGTTCCGATGCTTTTTTTTCTACATCTATTTTATAAATAAGGAAAATGTTGGATATTTTAAGTGTTTTGAGACATTCTTGAATGCAGTCTCATGCAACTACCATTTCTTTGCGAGGTTTATGGACTGTTGCACCGTTTTTTCAAAAGGTGACCTAAGCATCTCCCTGTTTTGGGCCCTAGGCCTTTTGCTGCTACACTTGTTTGTCCACCAATTAGGGGACACTCGGGCTTGAAGGGTTAACCCAATGCTGTGCAGTTCAACAAACATGTCTTTCAGTTTCAGTTCCAAGCAATTACAAAACAAAAACAATGATAAAAAAATCATATGCAAGAGTCTCACAAAATGCTTTAAAAGGGCTGTGTATGAGAAAATGTCATAACAAGAACTGAATAAACATGGTGCATGAAAAAAACAGACCATTTTTATTTTTACCCCCCTACACGCTCGGTGATCTGGCATCCAGAGATATTTTTTAAATTCTGTTTTTCTTTGGGGAAAAAATACTTTTTTATGCACACGTACTTCCTGCTTGGACATCCAGGCTCCTGCAGCACCTTTCCTACACCTTAACGGTTAGTAGAACGAGTTGGTGTCCACACTATTAAGCTAACGCCAGTTATTTATTTATATTGATTTTATATAATTGCATTTTTTTTAAACAGGCCAAAACACTTTTACTGTAAAAGTAAAAAAGTATTTGTGTTATTTCTATCTATGAAAAATTTAACCAGAACTAGAATATGTCTGTCACCCTCTGTCTCAAATACAGGGTGTCATCAAATTGCAAATCACAGTAATTCCATTCAAAAATGAAACTTGGATATTACATTCATTCATTACACACAGACTGATATATTTCTAATATTTATTTCTTTAATGTTGATGATTATAACTGACAACTAATGAAAATCCCAAAATCAGTATCTCAGAAAACTAGAATATCAGTTAAGACCAATGCAAATAAAGGAATGCTAGAAATGTTGGCCAACTGGAAAGTATGAACATGCTGCAGCAATGCGGCGTGGCATGGAGTCCATCAGACTGTGGCACTGCTCAGGTGTTATGGGACCATGTTGCTCTGATAGTGGCCTTCAGCTCTTCTGTATTGTCGGGTCTGGTGTATCACATCTTCCTCTTCACAATGCCTCACAGATTTTCTATGGGGTTCAGGTCAAGTGATACCATGGTCCTTAAACCAGGTACTGGTAGCTTTGACACTGTGTGCAGGTGCCAAGTCCTGTTGGAAAATTAAATCTGCATCTCCATAAAGTTGGTCAGCAGCAGGAAGCATGAAGTGCTCTAAAACTTCTTGGTAGACAATTGCGTTGACCTTTGACCTCAGAAAACACAATGGACCACACCAGCAGGTGACATGGCACCTCAGCCCATCACTGACTATAGAAACTTTACACTGGACCTAAAGTAACATGGATTCTGTGCCTCTCCTGTCTTCCTCCAGACTCTGGGACATTGATTTCCAAAGAAAATGCAAGATTTACTTTCATCAGCAATCATAACTTTGGACCATCAGCAGCAGAGCTTTATTTATATAGCACATTTCATACACAGAGGCAATTCAATGTGCTTTCAATTAGTAAGAAAAGCATGAACATTAAAATCAACATGACAGAAAATGCTATTTAAAAATGAAAAAGGAACAAAGTTAAAGTTAAAGGGTGAGCAAATACAGTGCAGAATGTACAGCATAAGAAACATTTGTTCAAAGGCTGCATCTGTGAACAGCATAGTAGCTAAAAGCAGCTTCACCCTGTTTGTTTGGTTCTGGCCTGAGGTTCTACCAGCTGACTGTTTCCTATTCACTCTCTCTTTCTTAACATTTTTTTAATCACAATTGTCTAATTTTCCTCATTTTAAATATATTTTTAAACATTTTCTAAATGTTGTTTTATATTTTTACATTTTCTGTTTTTGTGAAGCGCCTCGTGATTTTTATCTTGAGAGGCGCTATAGAAATGATATTTTCTTCTTCTTCTTCTTCTTCTTCTTCTTCTTCTTCTTCTTCTTCTTCTTCTTCTTCTTCTTCTTCTTCTTCTTCTTCTTCTTCTTCTTCTTCTTCTTCTTCTCCTTCTTCTTCTTCTTCTTCTTCTTCTAAGCACCTCAGAGCCCTGCTGGGCATATATACCTTCAAATTCAATTCAATTCAAAGATACTTTATTAATCCCAGAGGGATTACGGGAGTTTCAGTACACACAATTCTAAGATCAGACATACATACATAGGCATAGACACATGACAAGAATTGGTGACTGTGGTCATTCACAACTCGAGTCGCGCTACCTTAATAGTGATCAGAGTGTTTATATGAGGATTGGGTCAGGTGGAGGGGAAAAAAAGGCACTTCAGAGCTACCCTCCACAGGGGGGGGCAGCTTTGCTATGCAAAAAACACCTCAGACAGGAATGCAACAGACTTCAGACATTACACAACATAAGTGTCCACTAGGTGGGGAGGTAGGGTTGGGGACTCTCCTCACATCGGTGCATGCAGCCGCGATGAGTAGCGCTCGTCACCTCCGTTTGGACGAGGTGGGAGGTAATTGGGTTAGAGAGCACAGTGACTCCTGGAAACGATTCAAAGGCCTTCACCGGTCACAGTCCCGCCCAGGCTGAGATAGGGAGACAGAGTTGCCATGGCGACGGCAGCATTCCACATTTCTTCTGAGGGGGAGTAATCACTTCAGCCTCACAGGCTCAAGGGCACCAGATTCAGATAAGAACTTGTTTTGGGGCCGGACAGAGATAATTTCCTCTCTGTCTTAAAGTTCTGTTGGTCTCCAACCCCTCTAGATCCAATAATGGCATGAATTAATCTATTCCCATCCGTGCTGTCCCGTCCACTTTCTCCTTGATCGAATCCACCTTCTGTGCCAGAGTCAGAATCTCAGCCATAGTTCCAAGCCAAAGTTCCAAGCTTACGACTCATCTCGACAATTATATGAGTTTGTGCATTCACAGCTCGGTGTAATCCATCCCTGAGCTATGGGATGGAGCCAGTATTCCTCGAAAGCTCATTAATTTTCCGGTGAGCCAGGTAACCACTCAGGCCAAACAGCAAGAAACCTGACACCAACACCACGAATATCAGGATGTCTTCAGAATCCTCTACAGATAGTTGAGTGAGGCAGATCAGGTTCCACTGTTTCCAGGAGTCCATGATATACCCAGCTGGCTCTGTCCTAGAGGGTCACCTGGGAGCCCCTTCTCCCGTTCTCATCAATGAAAAAATGTTGTCGATCGCATTGAGAGACCAACTGACCAGGTCCATTTTTAATAATTTCCAGTTTCCAGAAAAAATGCAGAAGTGCCGTACACCCAAAGACAGACAAAGAGCCTTAGGATAAGATAAGGAGGAGATGAGAAAAACAGCATCTGTACTCTCCAAGAGCTGGAAGGAAAAGTCTGAAGGAGATCCAACATGGATTCTGGCCCCATGCCATTGAGTGATTTTTAAACTAGTAGAAGTACTTTGAAATTGATTCTGTAGTATTCTGGTAACCAGTGTAGAGATTTAAGAACAGGAGGGATGTGTTTGGTTCTCTTGTTAAGATTAGCAGCAGCCTGCTGAACAAGCTGCAACTGCTTCACAGTTTTCTTGGGAAGACCAGTTAGACCATTGCAATAGTCCAGCCTGCTGGAGATGAACACATGAATAAGTTTCTCTAGGACTGGTCTGGACATGAGACCTCTGAGTCATGCTATTTGATGAAGATGATAAAATGCTGATCTAGTTATAGGCTTAATATGACCAGTCAGTTCTGAATCAATGGTAACACCAAGATTTCTAACCTGGGTCATTGTCTTGAATTTCTCTGGAGCCAAGCTGAGCAATAACCTCCACCCTATCCTCCTTATTTCCAAATACAATAACTTCAGTCTTGTCTTAGTTTAACTGAAGGATGTTTGACTGCATCCAGTCATTAACTTGCTCTAAATACTGATAGAGAGAGTCTAGGGGACAACAGTCACTAGGCAGGATTATTCCTGCAATCAAATTTGCGTGGCGGCCGCCTCCAGCTAATTTTGTGCCGCCCCAGCCTGCAACATTAAAACTGGATCCCTCTGGTGATTCATCAGTTCAGTTCAGCTCAGCGGTTCAGTAGTTCTAGAGAAAGCTTCAGACCGGACATATGAAGTAAAACCTCTCTAACCCATCAAAGTTTTTGACACGTCCTCAAAATCAATTTGCACCTGCAAAGCTGATACAGCAAACAGTTCCTGCAGAACAAGCAGATATTGTTCAGACTCCTTAAAGAGTCCCAGACGTGTGGTTCCATCCTTCTGTCGTGACCTGAGACATCTCTGGACTGAAGAGTCATTGCCACGGTATTCTACAGCCCTTCAGCGCTAGTGGTCATCCGACCTCTCTGACCTTCGGATCCACCAAGAGGGTCTCCGAAATGGGTGACATAGACACACAGATAGCGTCTGATGTGCTTTTGATAATAATCAACTTTATAGCTTAACACAACCCAAATTATTTTACATCCAGAACTCAGCTCTCCTAGATCCAGAAGTTCTGATAACATTGCATTGACACATAGGTTCATACATCACATTTAGTTCCATCCATCACAGTAAATGTTAGTTAACTTGTCATGTTTTAATTGTTGGTAAAAAAAAAAGAATTCTTACTTTTCTAAACCTGACTCTTTTCTGAATCAAAACGAAGTGTGTACAATCCCTTAATAAATAA